AGATTAGAGATTAGAGATTAGAGATTAGAAAACATAGTTTGTAATACTTATTGCTCTTCGGTGTTCCTAGATGCAACAAAGAAAGGAAGAGTTTGAGGATTTTTTTAAATAGAGAATATCATATTTCAAATTAAATAAGTGGCTGTTGTTTAGTTCTTTTACTCGTCGGAAGTTTTACAGGGATTAAATTTAATGATGATTTATTAGCATGTTCTTGAGAATCAGCACTCGAAGCCTTTGATCCTCTAAGAATAATTTAGGATTTGTCTCTAGCAACATATTATACTTTTGCCTTTAGAAACCTTAGAAACTATATAATGGTTTCTTTGTATTATTTTTACAGAAGCTTGATATTTTTATAATAATGTTATTTAATCAGTGGTATAATTTTCATTGTTTAATCAAAGAAGAGTACTTAATAAGGAAAGCACATTGTCGACAGAAATCATTTTTGAATCTTTTTCTCATGTTTCGAGACGAAATATCCAAAGAGGAAGTATTTGAAAAAGAGTTTCTTCAACAGGAAGCGGCTTGAAAATATAATTATGCGCTAAATGTCTGATTCATTGATCGAGGAGTGAATCAACAATCGATGCGTGGAAACACCATTAAAATAAAATTACTCGGTGACGCGTGATAAAAGGATAAAGACTCGTCCGCTTTCCTGTACATCGAAAACTGCAATCGGCTGCGTTGCTTCGGAATTCAAGAGCCTTGCACAATAACAATAACATTCTTTAATCAACAGAACCCAACGTAGATAACAAATCTAAAACACAATCACACGAAATGTATCTTCTAAAGGCACTTCACAAACCTTCATTTCAATTTCAAATTTATTAAAACCATTCACAAATGACATCAAATTCAACTTAATATCGCTAAATCAAAATATCATCATTAATAATACAAATCTGCAATTAACAACAACAATACCAATGAATTGTCATACCATCTCATTGAAAAAGAATACAGATTACTAAAGCAATACAAATATCGCAGAAATAACCGTTTCCATTCGAAATATACCAAAAACTTCTGTTGCCTTTATTAATCCAGTACAAAACACCACAAAATAGACTTTCTAATACATTAAAAATTCACTTTATCTTTAATTAAAAATACCAATGGATTACCAAAGAAGTTCCATTTGACATTGAATTTTCTCGAAGCGATCTATGAAAACGTAAATGTCAAGTACACTTTCCTTCCAGCCACGATGATCGATCAGAAGCTACTCGGGTCTCTAGCCAAGCAATTGCTCGACCAATTCATTCCAAATATCGAATAATTTTCCGAGGAACTTCCTCTCCGTGACCATCCACGTTTATCTCGACTTTTATCCGCATCGATCGCACTTATCCGTACGATACGCGTTTCCGTGGTCCCACAATGGCAACGCGCGCACGCCATTGTTACGTGCCTTTTTCATTCGCCACACGCGAAAGAAAATCGTTGTCCTTCTTACAATCGTATCGGCGGTTCTCGTCGCTAGCGCGTCGCGTAAAGCGATTATTAATTGCCACGGAAGATTTTCATAGATCATGGATTCGATCGTTTTATTCAACTGTTTGTTTGCTTCCTTCAACACTTCCTCGAACGTTAACACTTTCACTACCATGTCACTTGAATTCGACATTTTTTACATAAACCTTTGCACATAACAATATTTGTCATTATAAGTATTCATTATTTTATGATGAAATATTGGTAATACTATTTGCAATTAACGTTAAGAGAAATCTTGTATAAGTTGAGGGTCAGAACTATTTTGTTTCTGATACTTGCAACTAACATAAAGACAAATTTGTAATTGTTAAAAAAAATTATTTAACGTTTATAATTTTGATTTTAATTCTAATTCTGATTGATATAAATAATTAAATTCCGATTTGCAGCCTTTTCAGTGCAAAGGGTTAAATATAATTTTCTTGGTGAAAATTCGAGTTAAAAATTGTTGTCATGTTGAAAACATAATTTTGAAGAATATTTTAGAGTTACATAGACCTTCAAAAGATATATCCTTTAGAAACTGCGTGTTAAAACTAGGTATGTAGAAATATAGATAATTTAAGTTAAACAACGTGAATTGATTCTATAGCAGTGGAACAAGCATTTTTTGTATTTAATAATAAATATTAAATTAGAGAAACTCTGTAATCAATTATTTACTGATACATCCAATAACACAAATTTCTAACAGTCTCATAAAATTATATTTAATTTTTTATTTATAAAAATGATTTTCAAAGTAAACGGAATATTTCTCAAATCAGCGTAAACTTTTAAAATCTGATAACGATATTTTGAAGGGTATCAATCTCACGACGGTAGCTTCGCCGTGAAAAAAACACGGGCCGATTGTTTTGAGAATTGCATCTAGCCACTCCGTAAATACCTTGACCATACTTCGCCATGAATAAATGATTTAGCGGAGCCAAAATAGTTGAATGTTTCTGAAAATAGTGCGGATCGCTGACGTAAACTGTTGTTTATGGACGCGTTGCGTTCCATAATGTCCCTAAGTTTCCATTATTATTTTTTATCTTAATTTCCGACGGGTCAGAAAGGTCAACGACAAATTTTCTTGTGTTACCTTTCCATCAATCCCCGAAGCATGTAATTAAAATTATAAAAACAAAAATTCTTGTTATCTATACATATATTGTGTAACATTTATCGATAAATAATATTCTTAAAAAAGTATGAAAAAGAAATAAATTTATGAACAGACTTATAACAAATTACTCCCAATATTTTATTAAATAAAATTTAAACGAAGACCAAATAAATTTTATAAGATTTATTACACAAGAATCAATATTTCCTAATTTATTTAGCAATTTATTTTATATCTTCGAGCTTAATAATTGTATAACAATTAGAATATATTATTTTTGTCGTATGGAATATTAATGAAAGTCAATTATTTATTATAACGTCTGTAATCGGAATCAATATTAGAATATTGTTTCTACTTTAGCAATTATTGATGAAAAAGGAATATTAAGAAGAAATGGTTCTATACGCTGATAACCTGTTTAGTCTCGCGACTTGATCTTTTTAGCACTGATGAAAGAAGGATCGAATGAAGCGTTTCTTACACGCCGCTGTGCATTTCACGGTGATCAATTTTAATTCACGCCATCGTCGTTCTTTCACCGACACCTCCATCGTTTCAACGGAGTTATTATCCTTCTTCTATTCTAATCGAATGACACCGCTGCGTTGCAAGGATATTTCCTTGCCATTCCTAAGTACGATTTCCTAGCGTCCAGCGACTTGTAGTCGAAGCACGTGTTCGCAATGTTACATAGGTGTCCTGCGCGAATGCTCAAAACGGTGTTATTCGTTCGGTGATGAGACTAACTATGAAATATAGAAACGAAAACGCCAAGAATAAAATCCAAGGAATTAAATAATTTAATTCTTGTAATTAGAGTGCGTTTATGGAGACCTCGTCTAATTCGTATTTTAACCTGCATGGGTATATTAATTTGTTTAAGTAATATCCCAACAAAATATTCTTATCGTTTTAATAAGCCGTAAAAATTGAATAGAATTCTTCGATAGATTTAGCCTTTTCTTTCTTATATTAAAAAATTTGATCTTGATATGAAATTGATCGATGATATAAATAGTTTCAGCCAAAGATTATTTATATATTATTCATGTTACGTTATTCCTTACTTAAATCACACTATAAATTACTTCATACATTATTCTCATTACTATTGTATTTACATTACTGAATTTATTTTCTTTAAAACGCAAACTGATACTAAACTTTTCAACAATAAATTATTTATTCTTTCACATAAATGTGTAATTCTTCTTCGTTTTGCTTTAATTTTTCGTTACATTATATTATCGATGCATTTGCTCTCTTTGTTTAATAATCACTGTTGAAAACATCTGTCATCTTTTTAATAATTGGAATCATAATCATAATTTTAATAATAGGAATCGGTCATTTTGATCCGTCTGGCAGTTTTAGTGTTAAATCTTTTTGAAATTCCTCTATAAAAACTGTAAGAGTACATCTATCGAGACTTCAATTAATATAAAATTCAGTTTGCCTATTGCTAACTCAATTTCTTTAATAGTTTCTCTCAGAAACATCTTTCATCTTAGTAATAATTGCTAAACGAATCTATCAGGAATCGATCGTTTTGACTCGTCGAGTGTTAAACTGTAGTTTCAGTGTTAAACAAAGCCACACTAAATAACCTCCATCCCCAAAAACCACCTAACCAATACCCAATCACCCGATCCATGAGACACAAACCGCTCTGCGACCCAAAGCGACGAGATCCCGCGAGCCTCCGACTCTCCCGTACGCACCGTACGTAGCGCGTCGACAGTGGTAGTCGCGGCGTGCCGCGTGGTGGGAGGCCTCAATAAAAGTCAGTGGCAGACTGATTGTAATTCAGAGTGGCGGTAGACACCGGTACCAGTTCCCCGTACGGCCGCGCGCACGTTTCGCCGTGCCTCCTCTCGCTAAATCCTCTCGGAGCCCGCGGATCGGCGACTGACGCAAAGATCGACCCGACGAAACGCTCGAGAAATCTCAGGGAAACACCGTTCAACGGCGGTAGTCCT